TCTGCTTATCCTAATAAATATTATAATTTTTTTTCGTAATGATTTCACTCCTTAACTATTTAACCGATCATCATGAAATTTTGTACATACATTGTCAGGGGTACAGAAAAGGTCATAGGGTATCTTTATGTCATAATAATTTCTAATTAAGTACAGGTTTTACATACTTTTATTTTCAAAACCAACATTTTCTAATCGTCGTTAATAAAGCTTAGCATATATCAAGCTATAAAGGTAAAGACTCAAAAAACCGTCTCATTTTATATTCAATCAAAATGTTAACTAATAGTTATCCAAACTATTACAATTTTCAGCTGTTATGTTGTTATAATTGTGACTAATACAAAACGTCAAAAAGTACATGCATCAAAAAAAATGCTACTTACCTTCAGAGATTTCTTAGTCATAGATCATTCGTTTTATTCTACATAAAAGTTTACTCTCAAAAAATACGAAGTAAGTAACAAGGATTATTGAGGTGATTAAAAAATGTCATTTTAATACGTTATTTATTTTCAATGTTTACATGCTTGGCAGTGGTAATTCGAAATTTAGAACATTACAAATAAGGCGTAGTTGAAAAAAATGAGTTATTGATGTTTGAAACATTTAAAATTTGAACATTACTAGTGCAATTATTCAATGTGCTTTGAAAGAAATTGTTAGATGGAAAACCAAGAGCGTATCGTGCTCTTTTCAACAGCGACAGCCACATCTTTTTATCGATTATAATTGCCAAGATATTAATACTTTTGTAGAGCTAGAAGACATTACTTAATTTCTGAGTAACAAAATGGGTGGAAGAGAGTAATAACTGAGGTAGTAAGCTTTTTGTAAGCAGCCACACCAATTGTAGAGGCCCCACATCTAGGGTTGCCACCCGTACTTTATTATAAAGTATTGTATTCTATTTCGACTGTGCGTACGTTATACTTTACAAGACACATAAAGTACGCAAAAATACTTTATTTAAGGCCTTAAGTAAACATCGTAATTTTGTAAGCGATTATTCGAAATTCANTGTCATAAAAGATTGCTGTGACTTCAGGAGCAGAATTTTCTCAAAATGGTTTATTGCCGAAGTGAATAAAACTCCGATATAAATAATACTGGGAACAAACTTTATTTACTATGAATTGAAAAGCAGACTGTATACTACTTAATTTTAATATCTTGGATATTGGTTTGAATTTTTTAGATATTCGACAATCTGCAGACGCTGTGAAGTCATGACGAAATCGTCAACAATTAGATAGTTTTATAACAATAACACACCGGCATTTAAGATCTGTCTGATGGATATTTGGGCCCTATAATTGGTCTGGCTGCTTACAAAAAGTATTAAGATAGGTCCCTAAGTATCATATTTAAAAATGAAGACTCAGACATTAAATAAAATTACGCTTTTTTTTGCCAGCTTTGAAGCGTTTGGCAGAAATTACCGCCTATGGGAAATGTCTGACAGTGTTGATTTTTAACAATATTCTGTGAAACATTATGTAAAAATCAACACTCAGACTAACACTACTCTATCCCACTCATTTTGTTACTTAAAAAATAAATAATATCTGGCGGCTCTAGGGTCTTGGATTATTATACGTAGGTACTTATGCAAATGCATATCTTAGGCAGTGCCAAATGTACTAGAGTGATTTTGAAAATTCTTGTATTTCTAGGAAAGTTACTGCTATTCTAATAGTAATACTATTAATTAATCTAAAAACGCTGCACTGCTAATGAAACTTTCTTTATTTAGTAGTTGCATCTGGATTTATTTTTTAAACAATCGTCCAAAATTGAAATATTATCTGATCCAGAATGCAACTTCAGTGCTTAAACAGAGATTTACAGAAAAACATATGGATACCTAAATATATTAACATTAACAAATAAACTATTATTTTAAGGGTTTTAAAGGAACACAATTTTTTTCACGTCTTTTTATATAGTTACATTTACAAAACAAATATAAATATAATCTATTATCATAAATAGTATATGATAGTAAAATTGCTACGAATCATACGTGTGGTCCTTTAAAGTTAAAAGCACGTTGCATTTTCAATGGGGGTTTAAGCGATTACAATAATGAATTACCGTAAAATGGATCTGAGATTTTATTAATAAGTTGAAGAATTGGAAGTCCTTTGTTTTTGAATTTAGAATTCTTTAGAAGTTTTCTAAAATTCGTACATATTAATTAAGCTTCAATTCATTCATAGATTTTATTTTCAATTTTTAGGAACTGCATTCTCTGCCTGCGTTCAAATAGATTTGAAATAGAGATTTAAATAATAATTTTAGTGATAGCCCAGCCGGTTATTGTTCTTCATAATTGTGGTAATTTTCAGTATTGATGTTTTAAATGCAAATTTCTAATTGTGCAGACAATTTTCTATTTACGTCAGGTATATCTTTTTTACTTTCAAAGCATTTTCGTTTGGCTTCGGCGCAGGTTCGCCAGATGATGTAAACGATGACTTATTATTTCTTTATTATTCATTGAATTTACGTTTTGTCCACGATTTGAGTGTTATATGGTGTCATGTAATTACGAGTGTTGTAATTTTGCTTGGTGTAAACGCTTTTTTATTATTCAGTGGAAGTGGTTGGAATATAAAATTTAAAATTTCGAAGCTTCCTTTAAGGTAAATTATTTTGTTTTAATTTAACAATTGTCACTGTCATTACATTACATTATTTACATCAATTAGAAAGGTGTATCTTTTTTTAAAACAAAGTTGCAAAGAAACGGGGTATTTGAGAACATCTAACGACAAAGAAAATTAAAATTCATAATTTAAACTGATGTTTCCATAATGATTTAGAATAAAAGAAATTTTATCTGTGATTGTACTTTTGCTTCTTTTCATTTAGTTTTGCCTTTAAAAATTTAAAAACTTATAATAGAATAAGTAATTAATTAACTTTTAAAATTAAATCAAAAGGGCTTGAAAATATTTGATATTCCTGGAGTCTATTTCTTTAATTGACAATTGTTCTTTGATTTGGTTTGTAATTTGTTGTTTCTTTGTTTTTATTACGAGTGAGTGTTTGAGATGCCAGTTAAACACATTCCGCAAGTAGTAATTAACAACATCATTTATTCCAACATCTTAAATCTTCTAATTACTTAATATGCTTTATATCTTTGTAATAGGCCTTAAGGGAAAAATAATGAATTTAATTCATTTATTTTTTAAATATTTTGTTGAATGTGTTTTTAAAATAAATTAATGATATTTAATACTGCTTAATTGTTTGGAAATAAGTCCTTGAGAAAATTGAAGGATTTAATTCACTTTTAGGGTGGTTGGAATCAATTTAAATTTGTATTTAATGTAAACGGGGCATCAGGGAGTCGTTGGAAGACATGTGGTTTTACGAAAATGTGTTTTTGTGTAATCGAAGGGAATGTTTTATAGTTTGGCTTCCTTTTTAATTATTTTCCAGATTTGGACTTTTGGTTTTTGCAATGGCTTAAGCCACCTTAAATTTCTATAACATAAATTCAGCAGTGTTCGTAAAGTTACATGTTTTGATGAAAATGTGTTTTTGCAAAATTGAAGGAAATAATTCATAAATTCCTGTCCTCAGTAAACAATTTTCAAATTTGAACGGGGCAAATTTTTGCTCTTAGTGGTGGTTCAGTTCAATTTAAAAATGTGTGACAAAAGCTCGGCAGCCTCTCAAAGTATCAAGTGTTTTGATGTGAACGTTTATTTTGCGAAATGGTAGGAAATAATCCATCGTTTTCGCTCCTTACTAACCTTTCTTCTAGTGATTCAGTGTAATTTAAATTTGTGTTAGATAAGCTCGGCAGCTAAGGTATCAAGTGTTTCGATGTGAATGTTTAGTTTGCAAAATCGTAGGAAATAATCAATACTTTTCAGCCCTTAATAAAAAAAATCCAATTTGTATCTGCAAATTTGGCTCCTTAAAGTGGTTCGTTAGGAGACATTTGTTTTGATGAAAATGTGATTTTGCGATTTTAAAGGAACTACTCATAATTTTCTATCTTTATTAACCTATTTTCAAATTTGAACGCGCAAATTTTTGATTTTTTCCAGTGGTTCAGTCCAATTTAGATTTGTGGCAGAAAAGCTCGGCTGCTAAGGTATCAAGTGTTTCGATGTGAATCTTTATTTTGCAAAATTATAGGAAATGATCCATACTTTTCAGTTAGGGTTTTAGGTATCCACTCTTATAATATTTCTAATTCTTTTTAATATATATGATTGCCTTTATGTGCTTATTTATGTTGTTAATGTAAATGTTATAGCTAGGAATTTATTAAGGGATGATATTTTTAAAGTAAAAATTTAACTAATTGTTGTTTACATATTTCTCATGCCTCTTAACAATAAAAATTCAAACAAAGCAGTTAGTCTGACCATGAGCTGTTACCTGCTTAGTAAAACTATCAAATTTACAGTTTTCAACATCAGTTGGTTTATTGAAATAATTTCAGCACAATATACGTATTACAAAAATGTAAATGTTAATTTTAAAGTTTTACAAACAATAATAAATTTTTGAACTTTTGAAACCAAGAAAACAGTTATAAAATGGTCGTCTTACTAATAAATTATTGTCAGACTAAAACGAAAATTGTGTAAATAAATAAATATTACGTCCAATTTCGGAGTCGGGTAATTACTATGTCAAAAAAGGAACAATCATCTAGTATGTCTTAAAAGTTCTTTTACTTAAAATTGCAACAATTTTAGTCAAAACATTTTTTAAAATTAATTAATTAAAGAGCTTTTAGAGCATCCTAGTCGCTATCCCTTTCATTTTTCGTTCTGGATTTTCACGGTAATTGCATACCTATACATAATGATTTCGTTTTCTAGTACTATTGACTATGCAATAATGTATCTACAAGAATTCTCTTAATTATGTGTAAAAACAATTGATAGTAAACACACCGAAATTAGTATGGCGAAGCCATTATCTATTATAGCTTTTGAAAATCTTTAGCAATTTATTTTCTTAGGAACTTGGTATTCTTTTTTTTTTCTTCAATCTTATAAACAAAAATACAAAATAAAATCATTCAAGGCTGGGAATTTAGTTCTAGTAAAACACCAGATACCAGCTACAACGAAAGTCGAAAATTAGAGGCGAAATTCAGGTGCCCATATATTATAGCGAGTTTTATAAAACGATAGGTGTGGTAGAGTATATACAAGGATAACATTTTTCATTGCAACACTTTCTTTTCTTATTTAAGAGTGATTTCCTCACTACATGTATTTCGACTTCCATTTTGCAGTAGGTTGAAGGGGGCCACAGGGGGCTTCTTTGCTTCTAAAATATTGTTTAAATATTTACATAGCAGTCTATAGTATACATAAGTGTTAGGCATTTAATAAAAAAAAGTCTCCATAAAAGTGGTCATATGGTGCATATATACAAAAAATATTTTTAATCATACAAGATGCTCCATTTCTTCTGGGCGCTAACTAACTTACAATGTATCTCTCACTCCCATCCAGTAAATCAATGCGTTTTTTTAGGTAATATAGGCATATAGGAATAACCCCTATAGTTTTTCTGTAGAAAGTTCTTTGCAATTTTCAAGTAATAAACAATTAAAATAAAAAAATAGCAAATTTTTGCGTATTATATCTTAATAATTCATTAAAATTAACAATAACTATTGCAAATTGTTATATATCTTGATATTACGTGGAAAGATAGATTTAATAGTACTTAAAATGTGATTAAAATTTCAATTTGATTATTTCATTAGTTTTTGGATTATAGAAATTGTTTATCTCAGAGAAGTTATTTTTGCAATATAGTAGTACGCACAACTTTGGACAGACAGAGATTTTGTAGGTTTTTTCTGGAAGGGCAGGTGTTTTTCTACAATGATGTTTAATTAGAATAAGAAAAAAGACATTTTAATTGTTGCAAAATGTCGTTACAAAAGTGCTACCGTACGCACAACTTTGGACAGAAAGAGCTTTTGTAGGTTTTTTTGGAAGGGCAGGTATTTTTCTACAATGATGTTTAATTAGAATACGAAAAAAGACATTTTAATTGTTGCAAAATTTCGTTACAAAAGTGCTTTCATTTTGGTTTATTAACAAATAAAATAACTTTATTGCTATAACTGTTAGAAATATGCCGTTTTTATACTTAGAAAGAGGACATTTTTTAATGAATTTAAAAAGTTCCTGAGGAAAGTAACGTTTTGTTTTTTTAATTCGCAGCTATTTTGTTTATAACAATTAAAGACAGTCATATAAAGATAAATTATTTCAACAGGATGTCATTTAAGTGGATCAGTTTCTAATAATTTACTAATTAAACTGCATTAGTATAACTGAAGGCACCTATAAAATGTATTATGTATCTATCATAGGTATAGAAAGAATTTTCATCTATAGGTCTCCCGGCTCGTTTGTCGCTTCATCTTGTCATTCAATCGTATTCAATTGTGTTCGGTCCTCGAGAAGGAGATGTACCACCATTTTTGCCGTCCATAAATGGAAACGACGCCTGAAAGTATTTAGCCCTAATCCTTATTCGATTTTCATTTGATTTATTGTGTGGAATGCGTTTCGGTTTAGTGATTGATTGATTTCAATTATATTTTAATTATAATTATATTTTGTCATGAAAAACTTGGGTGGCGCGTTCGTTTCGTGCTCTATTATCGAGTGTGTCGTGGCATCTTGCCTGTACTTATCTAATGTGAATTTTATAAATTCTTAGTTTATTGGAGTTTGAATAGTTCGGGTTTTGTTAGAATTTTTAAATTTTGAATACACGTTTAGGCGATGATTCTAGATTTTTCATATCGATGTGACCACGCCACGAAGATTGCTTTCATTTTATAGCCAAAATATGTAAAATATTTCTTAATGCTATTATTCTGCTTTTAAAATTCCAAATTTCCTTTAAAATTTTTTTAACTTTTACCTTGTTATGCTATAGATTAGGTTTTAACGACTTTTTTTTCTGTAATATAGGCTTGCTTTGAGATTACATCCTTGGATTCGAGGGACAAACAGTACTTGCAGATTTGTGGCAATCAGACATATTTTTATTTCCAAGTATGCTTCTAATGAGCTGGTCAAAAAATTCATAGGATACAGGGAGAGGATAATTCAAATGGCCACGAAACGCGGGGAAGCAGAACCCCAATCATGCTTCTTTTTGTCGGTCTTGGACAGGGTAAGAAATCTTTAAATATTTTATGAAGTTGTATTTATGAAATGGATGCGATTTTCCAAGTGTAGTTTTCCATTTGTTTGACAATAATTACCACTATAAGTTTTTACACTTGTGAATTGTCATAGTTTTGTAAAAGTATTGATTTTGATAGTCTATTATTTAATTGGTGAAAGTTATGGTTCTTAAATATTTTAAAATGAAGCTAACATAATATTGTTTCAACAGGATGCATTTAAATGTATTAAATGAACAAGGAGACAGAAAATAAGAAGGATTCAAAACCTGGAGAAGTGGAGCCCCTTTAATTTTCCCTCCCCTTGGGCGTGAAGGTGCAATTTCCAGAA